AATAAAGTCAAGTATAAACGTCAAAGAAAATAAACTTAACTTATAAGTAAATATATTTAATATTGAAATATAAATATTTATACTAACCTTAGTAGCTTCCTCCCTTAGTAAAAGGGTCATAAAATCGGAATTCTATAAAGAAAAAACATCATAATTAATTTTCAAATCATGTATTGTATAACAAAGGAATATGATTAATTTGTTAAATCTAATTATAAAAACTTACATCATACTCTACAACCCAATGGTTGTACTTGGAAACCAAATTTGGATCAAGAATGACCCTTAACACGGAAAAAGTTGATGAATAGCCCTTTTTTTCATTATTATTTGCTTTGATTCGAACCTTGAAAAGAAAGGTTCTCCCAACCAAGTCCTCTAAATCATCGGGCAGCTCAAAGACAGCTTTATTCTACCAAAAAAATAATAATAATATAATATTTATAAGAATTATAAATAAGCATTAATCTCGAATTAACACATATTTCTATATATATTTTTTTATTGTAATAATAGTCACCTTTAACACAGAAATTTCGCGTTTTAGAAGCTCACAAGACTTTCCAATCATCCGTTCACACTCTCTATCCCAACATATGAAAACAGCACTTGCAGTAGAATCAGCAACACTAAATTGAATCTTGTACCCTTAAAAAAAATCAAAGTGTAAATTATTAATAATTAATAATAATATGCGAAAAGAAAAACCAAACAATATTCCAACCGTGCAATGCCACGTGTATTAGTGCACTTGATGCAATGCATATCACCATCTTCAATTTCCATCTTGCTATTGCATCTTTTGCAAGCAAGGTACCACCAATTATCAATAATTGACTCGATTGAGGCACAAACCCAAGTATCCATAGCCTTTGAATAAAAAAAATAGATTTGTAAGAATTAAAAAATAGTGATAATGATATTAGAAAACAGCGGTATTATACATAAAAAATCGGAATATATATATTAAAGTATCTCTTCAGTCTCATGTATAGAATCAACAGAGCTAACAATCACATCACCATCCTCAAGTCCTTGAACTTCACTCTTAACAACTAAAGAGCTATTCGATCTAAGCTTCACACTTTTGATTTTGCTAGAAGACATCCTATAAACAAAGACATTTATTTAAAATATAATCTTTAAATATATCTATAACATTGCTAACAAATAAATCAAAAAATTATTTACTTTTCCAAAAAGTCTTGAACTTCGGGAATATCGTGAACACCAATCAAGTGTGTGACATCCTTTGAAGTTGTTATTTGAACTTCACCTATTGAAAAAAAAAAATCGTTAAGCAATACTAATTTAAAATTATAATAAGCATAATGTTTATGTTTATTTTGAATAATTAAAAAATAAAATAAAATTACCATTCCATGGCTTTGCACGACACATTTGTATGACCAATACAAACGGTTGATTGGCTTCCACATAATAATTCTCGAAAGCAATAAATTGATCCACATAGGCTCCCCAAACGGTACACGTCATAGTAAGACCACTAAAAATAATAAAATAATTTAAATAATAAGCTATAAAAATCGAGTGAAATATTTAAAAAAAAAAATAATAGAAATAACTAACTCCAAATTCATAAGATTGAAATTAATCATCTGCGTCGGGCCACTTTTCACGTTTTTTATTTGAATTGGATGGGTCTCCACCACCAAGCCAATAACATCTACACACGAAAATTTTTATTAAAATCTAATAATATACATCAAATTATATAAAAGAATTTTATTTTCACGGCAAAATTTAAAATATGACTCACCAAACAAAATTGCCTCGTCCACATTGTCAATGTCACGCAAAGTGAGAAATTCTCTAAAAGAGAATCTATACAATGGGAATGTGCTCTTTAGTCTATAGAATTCGGTTCCCCTATGGAGAATGATCCTAAATTTGCCAATAGTTGATTTGTAAATGCCTATGTTACTCTCCACTTGATAATGATTGAAGACATAAGCTTCTCCATCCTTAAGCTCGTCAATGAAATGAGATATGTGAACGGGCCTTATAAGACCGGTTATCCTATCACCCTACAAAAAAAAAAAAGAATTACGATAATTCTGACCAAAAAATAAAAACACGTTTGGTAATAATAATAATGGTGGTAAGGCAAGCTGTATGTATCTAGATAATAATAGTCCTTTGTGACAAACCTCATTATCATGCAAAATTAACTCAAGAACTTTTTTGGTAGAAAAATTCTCGGAAGTTCTTTGAAACATGCGAATAATACGAAGCTTGAGGAATGGCCTATTAGACCTCTTGATATCCTTGATCAAACCCCATGTTTGAGTCATTTTCTTAAGAATCGCTAATCTCACTAATAAAAAATAAAAGAGTACGGTTGTGCTTCGTGTTGATTGAATGAATAATAATTTGCAATGCATTAATCTTTTATAGTTAAAGTTACGTGGTTAAACTTGCTAAGTAGATAAATGCAAAATGTTTTGGAGATTTACTTTAATTTCTTAATGATAATCAAACTTATTTTAATACAATTTTTTTAATAGAGGCGTGTGTGCATTATTTTCGTGTGAAATGGATATGGTTAGATTTTGTTAAGATATATACAAATCATTCACAAAAAACGTGAGCAAAATATTTTAGTGTGAGATTTAAACTTGTTTGAGATTTATTAATTTCCTAATGACAAATATTACGAAATCTTTTAAATATTTTAGTTACCAAACTTGTTTGATATTTATTATTAATTTCCTAATGATGAGACGTAATATTTCTATGCAAATATTTTAGTTATTTTAGTTAGGGAATCGGATTGATTACACAAATTATATGCAAATAATCCGATTGTTTTAGTGCAAATAAATAGCGTGACCGCAGCACTTCTGAAATAATTTTGGACTAATCAATATTAAGATATCTTCAAATAATTGACAAAAGCAGCTAACCAAATCTGTAAGTGTTTTTAAAATTTCGGATTGTACAATTAGATAAATCCAAGATAATTTATTAACATATTTATTTATCAACATTGATTAGGATGTTTGTTCCCATCCTATCTACTAACATATTTATCTCAATAATCTATTGGATATCTATATTTATTAATCGAAAATAATTGGACTTTTATAACATGATGAATATTTAAACGAAATTATTAAAAATCAAATTGTTTTCATTGGTACTTATAAAATAAATATTGAGTAGAATTTTATAAGTCATAGTAAATCTATTAAAATATTTATCTATTAACATTCTTTAAAATGTTTGTTATATAAAATCTATTAACATATTTGTCTCAATATTTAACTCTTTTGATAGAAATCATAATTATTAATTATTAATAAAAAATGTGGTTATTTTAAACAATATACATATTTAAACAAAATTTTGTATGTCAATATTAAACTTTTTTATTAAATAAGTAATCTATTAATATATAAAAAATGTGGTAATTTTAAAATTTATGAATATATAAACGAAATTTGTAAAAATCAAAGTTTTGTTTTGATTTAAATTGGATAGATATTGTTTTAAATTTTTAGTTATATCAAATATTTCTTATATATTTATAAAATTGTCGAAATATTTGACAATCAACATTTAGGTTTTAATAATAAATTAGTTTATTGTTAGTTTTACCAAAAAATCTATTAATTATTATAGAGATCAATTTAAAATACAATAATCATGTTTAAACATGAAATCAAATCGAGTTGAATAATAAACGAAAACATAATTGTACTCATAAAAGTCTCCCAACGTAAATAAATATTATCAAATTCTAGCATGCCATGGAATAAAATTATTAAACCCTAAACAACTCGAATTAAAATTCTAATATAAAAATTTCATAATTCCTAAGAAATCCATGCAATCATCTTCATAATCTCGGAACCCTAATTAGTGATGAGGGAAATTTCCATTGTACGTGAATACATCTGTCTTTGGATGAAGCACAAGCATCCATCTGTGGCCGGTTGTATTGATCCTCTGATTATTCAATTCAATATTGTAGTTGTGGATTGTATAAACTTTGCCTTCTTTGAACACATCTCGATATATATCCTTGCTTCGACAACGAATGATGCAATTTATGCGTGAACCCTACAATAAAAAGTTATACAATTAACGAAAATAATTAATATAATTATGTATGTTTCATAAAACAATTCGTATGCTTACATTTTGATCATGAAACAGGATTTGAATATTGTTCTTGGACTGCTGCTCGAAATTTGATTCAAGAATACTGACTACTCTTAATCTCAAATACGGTTGGGTGGCCCTATTGATGTCCGCAAGTGTACCACAGAACCGTGCCATTTCTTTTTTTTTTTTTTTGTGTATCGATGTATTATTT